ACAATTTCGCAGTCCACAGGCCCACAGAGATCACGCTCCACGTGCACCAATGTGGTTTGTATGATTCAACTTTCCGACTCCTGTGTGGTTTCCTGACCCGCCACCCCGCCGCCTGCTGGCCGCAGGCGCATGTGCGTTTGCTTTGCTAACGGCGCCTGACGGAGCTGCGCCCCTACCCCAAGCAGACAGAGGCGCATCCGCAAGCCCCGGCATGACGCGAACCTGCAAGGGTAGCCGCAGTTCGTGCGATGTTCCTGACGCGGCGAACTTGGCGGGAGGGGCTGAATTTCTGTCGCAACCCGGGGAAGATGTTGTAGAGAACGTAGCTCTCAGGTGTGCTTGGCTCTATCTCTGGTAAAGCCGTCAGTTGCTTGCGCATTTGGACTAGCGCCTTGCAAACACTTCCGTTTGGCACTCCCAAGCAGTTCAGGGTTTTGAAAGATTTGCGCTGGAAGCCCGAGCCCACATCGTCGCTCGTTTGTGGCCGCAGACATGTTACAATTCCCCACGCAAAGGCTTCTTTCCAGAGATTCATGACATGTGCCAAGCCCTCGGGGGCAAAGCCGGATGTCCGATCGAGTGGGCCTTTCTATTGCTTCTTTCTGTCCTTGGCGTCGCGTGCTTACATCAACGATTTTCTTGGTCCCGCCCACGCTCTGGCTTTGCATTTGCCTTGACAGCGGGGCAAACAAGAGTTGCATCATCACAGCTCTTTTTGACCTTATGTCTACCTACGAAAAAATGCTAGAGGCGGACGATCGCAAGGTTGCGGAGGAGGAGGAGCTGGAGGAGGAAGACAATTGAGGAGCGGACCAGAAAGAGCAAAACGGCGCTGGACAAAATGATCGCCGCGTTCACGGCTAATAAGCCAACACTTTCTCGGACGAAGGCTCGTTGCCTGCCATCGAATGCAGATGGTGCCCCTATGACGAGGGGCGCTTGCTATCGCGGGCCCGAGCCAATGGAGACGGATCCGGGTTCCACGCGTCCTCAGTAGCCAAGCTTTTCAACGGCTCTGCCTGGAAACGCGTAGTTCTCCATGGCGCACACTTGCCTCTGTCCAGCAATGCGCTGCCCGCCCTTTTTGAAAAATGCCGCGACTTCTTGAGCCCTAAGTATGGCAAGCCGGAACCATAGTCAATTACACGGATACACGCGCAGGTCATCCCACCCACCCCCATTCCCCACACACACGGGGAACCCCGCAATTGTTTGGCGAGTTTCAGTTGCATCAAGACGAGACTGTTTACAGGGGTTCCAAGCCAAGTTGCTCCTGACCGGGCTCTTTCGCAAAATCTAGAACCACAGAGGGATGAAGCTGCTTGCGGGCTAAAGGGGGCTGACTCCTGTCAGAGGCAGATCAGACCCATCCCAACCTTAAATCCTAGAAAGGAATGATGGGTGATTCCAGTCAGTCGTCAGGTTGGTTCTTGCTACAACGTTGTAGGAAAGGCAATGCGTCAACAACTGTGTGCGCATTTTTTCATTGGTTGTGTGACAACGCGGGCTCGCATTTGAAGGGGCCTTATTATTGGTGATTGCAGGGCTTTCGAAGGCGTAAATTTGAGTGGGACAGGAGCGCCCTTTCCGGTCTGTTCCGCGTAGCAGTTCATACCGGATCAAGTTGATCATGCTGCTATTTGTTGGTGTTCGCGTGACGCGTGGCGGGTGGTGGGCAGGGTCCGCGGCGGCGTGGTGGTGAGTGATTGGGTGTTGCGTTTTTGCTTACTGATGGTGACGGGCTGGCGATGATGATGATGATGATGATGATGATGGTGATGATGATCATGACGACGACGAGGATGATGAACATGGTGATGATGATGATGATGATTATGATGATGCTGATGATGATGATGACAAAGGTGGTTGGCTCCGCCCCCCTTCCCCTCGCCAGCCGCCAAAACCTCAACCGCCGGCGCAGCCAGCGCACGTTGCCGCACCAACGGACTAGTGGAGCTAAAGGGTATACATATGGGTATATGTACCTGCAAAATATGTATACACGCCCATAGGATATAATAGCTGGGCAGTAGTCCTCTTCTGAGGGGTGCCGCCGTGGCCCCTACGCAGCCCCTACATACAACAAATATGTAACGCACTACAACAACGATGTCTGGGAGTTGTCCCTTTTCTTCCATAGATTAATTTCACACGGTTTGGACACCCATGCATATTTTTTCTTTGAAGCGTCGCCCTTCAGAAGCTCAGTCGAAGTTGGCTCGGTGTCACCTGCCGCCAGATGTTAACAATAGGTTAACATCCTTGCCATGGTGTGGTTTTCGAAAGCAGCGCAGTTCCGACATTCTGGGCTTGTACAGACTTGGCACCCCTCTTTGGTATTGTGAAAAGGCGCAGGTGCCTTGCGCAAGTGCCTTGCGCAAGTGCCTTGGGCAACGGGTCCCAACAAATTGGAAGCGGCCGAACCCTCGCGCACTCCCCAAGCCTCTAGCTTCGGGGCGTCCCGGGCAGCCCGGCCGTCTGGCTTTGCGATCCCGGAGGCCGGGGAATGGAGATACCATTTGGGGGGAACGCCAGGGAAGGCTCCAACTAGCAAGGGGTCCACCATAGAGATTCCAGTTTGTGTGTGTTTTTTGGAGGGTACCTCTTTCAGAGTTGGTTTTTAGCACCCATGCTCAAAACCATCCCCCCCCCAACTGGAAGGAGGTGGGCGGAGGACCTATGAGAACATCCCAAGCAAGACCCTCAAAAACACACGCCGCGGATTTCTTCCATTTGCTCAAGAATATGTGTTTTTTGTTTGTTTCCCCCCTTGTTGGTTTTAAACGGAATTTATCACTACTGTATCTTTTTTCGGGGGGCTTAGCCAAATGGAGGATAACCACCTGATCAACGACACGGAAAAAAAAAGAGAACGACGAGACCGGACCCATGTCGCTTCCTTTCAAGGGGTTTGGTGTCATTATAGATTGTCCTTTTTCGAGGGTACCCTTTTGTCTCAAACGGAAAGCAAAGGGACCATCACCATCTGGGGCTGCCTATTTCTAGACAACCGCATATTGAAAACCAAGGGAAACCAGTCATTTTGAGCGCTGCATTGAGGAACCCACATGAAATCAATCGGGTTCCAATCAAATAGGCGTGAGAGCCGTGTGTCAGCCGACGGTCGCGTCTTTCCTTGGGAGCGGTTGGTTGCTTTTTGGTGAGCAATTGGTTGACTGAAAATCGACATCCTGACTTCAAATCTTGGAGGAGCACCTGACTACCCATCCACGAACATAGAACTTGACTGAGGGGTCGTGGAAGACTAGTTTCTTTTAAAAGGGGACCTCTGGTGGGTCATGTGTCGCAGGACAGGAGGGTACTTCAAAAAGCTCGAGAGCGACATGTTTTTTGAGGCATGGCAGAGATCCCTTGGATGCTGAGGAAAATGTAGCTGCCGCGCTGGACATCTGCGGTGAAGTAACTGCAGCCTGGCAGGAATTTTGTTTTTCTTGGCCACGCTTCGCGAAAAATGTTTAAACGTATAAGCTACGTAGCTAGGGGAAACTAACATTTGGGATGCCTCTGAGCTGTGGTCGACTTTTGTTTTTCTGGATTGAACGGAATGCCAAGTCTGATTGGCATCCCATAGAATGCGACCTTTTGTTTGTGTGCTTAGAACTTTACTCAACAGCTGAGCTTTGTGCAGCACGGAGTTCGGCTGAGTTCCCAAATCTCTCGGTCTGGTGTGAATAGAACGCGTGGTCAAAATCATGGTTGCCCTTTGGGCTTCCTGTTCAAGCCCGCAAAGGGGGAGCCTCACGACACAAAAGGGCCAATAAAAAAGGAAGAGAGACATCCACCATTGTTCATGTTGCAATATGTAGGGAGCGCAGGAGCGCATGCTTCCCTCGCAGTTTCGGAACACCATACCTTTGATGGACCCCAAATTATGAGCAAACCAAGTGTGTCTGGCTTGTGGTTGTGGGACATCAGCTTCCGTGATATGCAGGGAATCCCCTTTCAATTCTTGACTGCTATTGGGTCGGATATTTTGACTTTAACTTTTTGGGAAACAAAGATGTTTCAACCCCCAAAAAGCGCAAAAAGTTCAACTTTTTGCAGGGGGGTCAACAGCGACCAAGAAGTGACAAAGTAAATTATACAACTGCTGACTTTGGTACCATTGAGAGGGTTATTTGTTGCACATCCCATGGAATGGAGTAAAGCCCATTACGGCTACGGCAATGAACAGATTCAAAGGTGCCCCTTCAGCCACTCAAGGACTAAGTCGCATGTCGAACCTATCAGGGTGCAGCTGTGGCAGGCTCCAGGTGTTTTCTCAGGACTTTCGGCTGTGCCACACTGTGGCACAGCTGTTTCATATGGCGTCATGGGTGAAATCTACATCTCCATGGCTGGTTCCCGCCAAAGAAGAAGCACATCCCGGCCCTGATGCCTATCATCTTTTGAAAGAAGGTGAAGAGCTTCTGTTCTACCACCGCTCTTGTTTCGACCCATATTTGATCTCAACGATTCTTCAGGACAACGAGATCCTCGTCACAAACTCCCGTGTTGTGATTACGAAGAGTGAGATCTCCAAGATCAACTTCAAATGTATGGGCAGCCCATATGCTGCCTATGACAACTGGCAACAGTACTCTCTCGATCGTGCGGTTGTGGGCGGATATGACGCCCGGATGGTGAGTCCTAAGCTCTGGCAGTTGCTAATTGCCGTCTTGCTTCTTTCTTGGTGTTTCATAGTTCTTTTTGATATGTCTCCCTACGCTATTGACATCACAGTTGAAACTGCCGATTTGCTGCCGATCGAGCACGTCTTTGCGCTGATCGGTGGCGCCTGCAGACAATTGGGTGGCAGCTGCAAGCAAGGCCTACAGCACGGCCTCAAGAAGCATGCTGAGGATCTAAAGGAGAACTCACTGCCTCTGAAGTGGCTGAGTCCATCTAGAACAGTTCGAACATCGCTCCTTGACGTGGACATGTCGGTGAACCAAGGCAAGAACCGTAAAAATGGGGTGAAGAGCTCGGGGAGGGCCATGCTGTCCCTCGATGCGAACACGACGTGTGTGGATTTCCATCCGTGGAAAGACCTGGATGGCAACGGATGCGACATGGTTGTTGTTGGGAAACATTTTTCTTTTTTGCTTCTTGTGGTTTAGTGGTTGAATTCCAACCACTTAGCTGCTAAACTTTACAATTTTGCTCCCCTTCCAACGTCAACTAAGGCCAAGACTTCGGACAGCCTGCGTGGAGGGAGTCCTGTCAGGGCACTGCCAAGGAGGACTGACGCCCCGGCGACTTCTCTGCTTGAGAGTGTCGACAGATCAATCAACTGACCGGTGCGCCTCCTGGGCGAAAGGTGGGGACACCCCCTCAAAAGAATAAAATCGACTCTCTCTTTTTTGGAGGGGCCACCCACTCACCCCTGATTCACAAACTGGGGTTGATGAAATATGGGCTCCACATCCGGTGCCAGCGGCTCATGTGCTTCGCGCGGCCGCTCGCGTCTCGGCTCGTCCGAAGGGTCATTGCCTGGATGGCTTTCACAGTCAGAGCTGCCCTCTGAGCTAGGCTTCAGAAGACTGAATCGGTGCAAGAAAGGACCATCGATCGACCTGATTTGGTCGCCGATTCCTCAGACTGATCCTCCAAGTGCTGTATGTGCCAATGGCCTTTCTCAGTTCTGTGAACCGCTCTGGCCAGCCTGGGCCATGCTTTTCTTGCGGATTCTGCGAGAGGGGTAGGGAATGAGGGAATAAAAACCTAGGAAATTTCCAACTCAGAGCTGGAGGGCTTTTCTTAAAATCATTACATGTCTCATTCCCTACCGGTGACCCCACAATCAGCCCGAGTTTATTAGGGTGTGTTCCCTTCCAAAGGTGCTCTGATTGCGCAATCCAGGAAACAACACCTATGAATTAACCGGGCTTGAGAAAAATACGGACATGATCGCACCAGGGATTCCCTTCAAGGAAACCGCATGGATGGTTCTTCAATCGGCATCATTGCATTTCTCATTCTCTTGCTCTATCGCACCCGCAAAAGTAGGAGAACCCGTCGAGATTTGAAGACCGCTCTGTTTGTTGCGTGGACTCTTCCATTTCCCCCTGCCAAGATCATCTCTCGCTGGGAGCCCGCGGAATCGAGGGATTCGCGAGAAAAGGAAGCCGCAACTTCAAGTTGCTTATAAGAATATGTGTTTTATTCATCTCTTGGTTTAAAGGTAATCTATCACAACTGCTTTGTTTATTTTTTTCCAGGTGGCTTAAGCAAATGGAAGACAAGCTGGAACCGATTCGGCTTTTCCATTGGGGGGGGCATTAAACCGCAGGAGTTGAGGCTGCGGCGGGACCTGCAGCTCCAGCTGAGCCCTTTGGACGCCTGCTGCCTTTGCGGCTCAGTTGTTCAGTGGCACCACTCGTTTCCTTCTTTTTAGGTGGCTGCCCCACTAAGAATGGCCTTCCCCAAAAAGGGTTCCCTTTTTTTTCCAGGGTCACTGAACAACTGAGGCGGGGGTTCGCAGCTCCGGGCACGCGCTGTGAGCATCACGGCCTTGGCCCAGGACCTGGTGCGTGCGCTGCAGGCCATCTATAACTCAAAGGCCAAAGCCGCGGTGCAGGACAAGGCGGCCGAAGGTTTTTTGGGGTTGGCGCGGGGTTTCGCGGGGTTTCGTCTTTGGTTCCATTTACCAAGGTGCCAGGTCTCCATGTATTTGAGCCACAGCCATGTGGGTGAAAATTAAACCAGGATATGGACCGCAGGTCTTAGTCCATGGTTACATTTACAGGGCAAGCCATTTTAGGTCTACCTATTTTTGACCCACAGCCAGGCGTTCGAAGATGATTTGGGGTTCGTGGCATGTGTTTCGCTCCTTTTTTGGGAGGAGCCGTGAGTGTTTTTGGGTGTTGTGATTTTTTGTGTGTTGTTTGTTTTGGTACGGGGCAAACAGAAGATTTCGCGAGTTGCGAGCTTGGGGGGAAGGCGATATCTCCACCCCACCAACAAACGGTATACCAAAACTTTTCAGCCGACACGGCTTTTTGAGGTGGCTGTGGGTCAAAATGAATCCACCAATAAACCGCAGGTGTTAATCCATGTTTCCTTTTGCCAGGGTTCTAATTCGGATACCTATTTTTGGCCCACAGCCATATGCCATGTTCTGCAAAACCAAAAGTTCCCCCCCCCCACCCCACCCCAGACCCCCCAGACCGCCCCCAGACCCCCCACATCCCAGACCCCCCAGACCCCAAGCCGAAGGTGAAGCTCGTGGACTCCATCCTGGCGGCCGGCTCCGACGCCCTGGAGGTCCAGTTCCTGAAGCTCTCCAACGAGGGCCTGATCCGCGCGCGCGCCTCCATCCCGGACACCGTGCCTTCCATTGGCCGAAGAATATATATATATATATAAATTTATATATATATATATATATATAAATATATATATATATATACAGGGCTCCTTAAAAGATCTCCATGTTTTGCAACCATTTGAAACATGTTGCTGTTTCCACCGAAATAAAGGGGAACCACCATTTACAAGACAATGTTCAGATGTATAATGTAAGGATCCCTGATATATATATATATATATACATATATATATACATATATATATATATATGTGATTATGTTTTCTTGTTGTTTGTTCTTCTTCTTTTTTAGGTTGATCTCTTTCTTTTAAAGGGAATCGCTTTCACTACTGGACAGATCTTCTCCTTTTTCCCCCGGGGGCGGAGAAGGCGCAGCTCTCCTACGACGCGGGCGAGGCGCAGAGGATCGCGGCGGTGGCCGGGCAGCTGTTCGCGGAGGAGGACGTGGATTCGGCGGTGGCAGAAGAGACGTCGGGCGCTGAGGCGATGTGTTCAGTTGAGCCACGTGCTTAAAATCCATTCGGGGATTGGTGAAGGATAGAATCCCGCGGATTGGTGAAGGTTAGTAAAAACCCGAATAAATTGGTGAAGGTTAGTAAAGGGAGACTGGGACCCAGCCATAGCTGCGGAAGTCCGGCTTCTTCATTCTTTACCATGGGTTCTGGGGATCGACCATGTTAGTACTGGGTTTTGAGTATGACTCATGCTCAGTTGTTCAGTGGCACCAACTATGTTTCCCTTTTGTTTGGTAGCTGCCCCACTAAACATTGCCAAAACCCCAAAAAGGGTTCCATTTTTTTCCAGGGTCACTGAACAACTGAGGCGGGGTGTTCAAGAAGCCAAGACAGATCAAGGTGTTTTTGTTTCCTTGTTTTTATCCCAAGCGAGTCGCGGGCAACCGCCTGCCACAGGTTTTCTGTGGTCATTTCCTCCGTCTTCCAACGGCTGGGTCATTTCCTTGGTCGAGGCCCCAAAATCAGTGGCAACCTGCGGCGACTTCCTCCTGCCCATATCATCAACCATCTTTGTCACTGAGATTTATCGATTTCTCTCATGCACCTGAACTTCTCCCCAATTTTTCAAGTGGCTTTGGGTCAACACCAATGGTACCATTTTGGGGGTCCCGGTGCATCACCCATTTTGGAGCCTATTTTAGTGGTTGGAGGTACGGGCTTTGGCTTTTGACACATGGCCAAGTGAACATGCTGGGGCCCGGGCCCGGCCATCCATCGCAGTTTGCTTGAAACGCGTCATCGCGCGCGACGAGTTGCCCAGGAAGCCAGAGGTGAAAGTTCAACTCCAGGAGGTGCGGGTTGTCGCGCGCGGCGGGCAGGAAAATGCGAGCTGGCAGGAGACTTGGAGAGGGCGGGAGAACTTGGGGTTCAGTTACCACCATTAGCTTGGCTCCCAGCCGTCCCTTTAGCTTTTTGAAATTTTCAGGGTTTAGCGCTCGTTTCCATTTATCCCACTAAAAGCAGTTTTTTAGCAGTGGATCTGAGGGCAGCTCAGTTCAATCAAAGCTTGGGTTCAAATGTCACCACCAGAACGTTTACCTGAGGATTGTCATCATCCAACATGGCTCACTATCTTTTTAGGGGACCACCACATTGATTGGTTTCTCCTCAAAACCAAAAGTGGGAGAACTTTACTTTAAATGGATACGGGACTCGATGGTCTTACCGCCGGTTCAACCGGTTGGCAAAACTCAGGAGAAGCTGAAGGAACTTTACATCCAGGCGCTACCGGCGCTGAATTGCGCCTTTCGAATCTACATCTTGTGCATCTTGGTCGGGGAGGGGGGAGGGGAAAGGGGGGGGGCGGGGTACTTTAGGGCACATTCACTATTGGTGTCTTTTCGCCTTTTTTTCCAGGGGCCAAGAAAACGCAATGGCCATGGTTCAAAACCAATGGTACTTTTAGAACCTATTTTAGTGGGTATTGGGATGTTCCCTGGCTAACCGATTTGGGTTTTGACCCATGGTCGAATCCGGAGGTTGCTAGTGGATTCGGGCTTCGCCCTAGTGGGCTTATCCCTTTTATCGGGTTTAGGTGGCTAGGTCCAGCGAATGGTGCCCGCTCGTTTACCATGTCTTTTTTAGGGGAGGGTTTCCCAACTAAAATGGACTATAGAAAAAACTGGTACCCTTATTCTAGCCTGTCTACTGGAGGACCTAGGAAGTTTATCCCAGTATTTAACGATGGTGATTGTCATTCATCCCAACTGATTTGAAGTGGATCTTGTGATTGTCCATCCATATTTGCCCATTCTCCCCTCGCAGAACTTCCCAAAGCCCTTGGGATTTGGGATTTGCTCCTGAAGTTTGCCAGGAAACAAAGGCCTCGCATAAAGAATTTTCTATGGGTACCATGTCCATTCTTTTTCCAGGGATCCTAAAAATTTTCAGGAAACCATCAAACGCAGGGTTGTGGGAAATGGAATCCACTTCTGTGATACCACAAAAAGGGGCCTACCCCCAAAGACGGACACCCCCCATTTAAAGCAGGGGGAGATTCCCAAAAGTATCAGAGAAGTGGGAATAAACCCCCGACTCATTCCACCCTGATAGGCCCCGAGGAGACGGATCCGGCTTCTGAGATTAGACCGGATCGGTGGAACAAAATGGTGATCAACCCGACAAATCGTGACCTAAAGCTGATAGGTGGCTGGCCCTGGTAATGGCCAATGAGTAAAATCAGTGGCTGAGAGGGCTGAGAGTGGCTGAAAAGAGTTCGGAATCGGAATCAAGCCCTAGAATCTTCGGCCGGGCAAACGGTTCCAGGGGAGCTAGTAGTGCCAGGCCGCATTCTTGAGGTCTTGGCAGAGCTGCATTTCTAAGATGAAGGCGGATCCTACTAAGTTCTAGCTGATCTTCGCAAAATTGTCATCCGTGTTCTGTGAAAGAGTGTGGCAATACTGCAGCACTTTGAATCCATAGGAAATCATTGTTTGTTGGTTTTTACGTTGGGGAATCGAAGCATTCCAGGGCCATTCCAGGGTGTCTGAACGTTGGTGCGAAATGAATCTTGTCCGTATGGCAAGTACCAACTAGTGCCACCGTGTTTCTTGTACTTGTGCGAGTGAGCCAGAAGTGCAAGCTGACACAGATGTTCTAGGGGCTGATTCCCCATTATTTTCAACCATCGTTCCTTTCAAACACCAGCCGGTTTTTCCTGGGATTCTGGAGGTTTTCTAGAAAGAAGGATCCCCAGAAAGAATGTGGAACTGTCCCCTGGAGATGCGTGAGCATTTTCAGTGGGCTTTCAACAGCAGCTTCGCATGAGCTGCGCAGGCATGATGATTGCCTGTGCCGCAGCAATCTGCTGGTGGTTTGGGCTCTGGAGAGCATCGCTCGTATACATGATGCTTAAGAAGAACCGGCAATTCTGCGGGGACCCGCAAGAAATGGAGTCGGCGGAATTTGTGATGAAGAATCGGTATAATATGAAGGAGGTGATGGGTTTCTTTTTGCCTTCAGACAGGCTCAACGAGTTTGCAGCAGCGCTGCAGGGGCGACCCGCAACCTTGGCGCAGGCCTTGGTCTGAGCATCGCAGAAGTTGCGGCTGTCGCTTGCTCGGCCGGGTCACAGTGAAATCGATGTGATGGAGAACGGGGATCACCGTTTCACTCATATATTGCGGTGCAAAGAGTGGAAAAGTCGATGCGTTGGCAGCATAATTATTGCTTTTGGATTTCCATGTCTGCGCCGGATTTGCATGACGACATCAAGCATCAATCGTACTACGATGCAGAATTTTCAACAGGCCATGCGGAATTGCGACAACAGTGCTCGAATGCGACCAACAAAAGAGCACCACACGGCGTCACAAATGAACCCTATACCAAAGAAAACAAAGGAGAAGCAGCATCCCTCTCACGCAGAACACAGGAACAAAAATGAGCAGGACATTGACTGGCGAGTTTGCTCTCTTGAGGAGTGATGTTTCAGGGGTGAAATGTTGGGAGCGCACATAGCCCAGTCCCACTTGCCCAGTGGTGCCCTTTGTTTCTTTTTTGGGGAAGGGGTTCCCCTTAAAGTCAGCCAACCAAAAAAAGATGCCCCTTTTTTTCCCCATGGCCACTGGGCATCTGGGCAGTGCTTCCAGCTACCACTATCTCAGTGGTTCAAAGCGAATCGACATGAACCGGACTTTTTTTGGTTTCCACATGTTGACTTTCCAGTTTTAGTCATGGCTCCAAAACTAGGTCCCCCAGTAGTGCCCTTTTACCAACTTTTTTGGGGGAGGGTTCCTACAGAAAAAAAGTTGGTACCCTTATTCTAACTTGTCTACTGGAGGACCTTGGTGAGCACCATTTGTTTATGATAGCACGCAATCATGTGATTTTACCTAGTTTGACATGGCTTCCTCGGTTACAGTTGCCTGGAAGCGCAGGCTGGGATGGAACGAGTTGGTCTTTTGAGGGGCCGGCCTGTTTCGGATGTCTGCCTTTGCTAGAATGTTCCACACTGCTCCAGGGCTCCTCAAAAGATACATTTTGCCCATTCAAAACATTGCTTTTTCCGCCAAAACAAAGAGAAACCACCATTCACAAGGCAATGCTCAGGTGTATAATGCATCCGGATCCCTTATATATATATGTGATTATGTTGTCTGTTTTTTGTTTCTTCTTCTTTATTTGCATCCGGATCCCTGTGCTCCCTCCACTAGTTGGGGAATCCCAAACGGGGGGTGGTCCAAGGGGGCGGGCAACCCAGGGACAACGAAGGAACCTGAAAGGGGCTCTCAACTATACCAGCCGCGAATGGGATTCCACAAAATCGGCGCCTTTCGGGGTTGATCAGTCTTCCACGGGTAGCTTTTCCCTTTTCTCGTATTCTGTCCTCTTTTTTGCGGTTTCCCTGATCCCTAAAAACCCCTTGGACCCTAAATATGAAGGCCTTGACCCCCCAAAGGCCTCAAATGACGAGGTCTTGGGCTCCCAATGGATGGTGATCCCACCTTCATGGGTTGGACATCCGGTTCAAGCCAGCCGCGTTTTTTGTTCTCCAAACGTGGGGAATCCCCACGTGAACAAAAAACCGGGGCGCGCCGCGCGCAACCGCTCGAAGGTGCCTCGATGACTCGCGGGATCTTCTTCCTGCTGGCTCTTGCGCCTGCTAGCGCCACCCGACTGGCGCAGCCCACCATTCAGAAGGCCCGGGAAGC